TCACACTTGCTCAGATTGTTTTACAGAGGGGACAATTTTGGCCTCCAGCGCTGGTAGTTCTGCAGGGAGAGCCACCCCCTGGGCAGCAGCCCTGCCGAACCTTCGGGAAGTCTCCTCTCTGCGTATGGGTTTGACCGCTCATGCGCTTAGATCTTAGGTCAAAAAATGCGAAAATCAGCGCTACAAATTATTACCCGGTTCCACAAGGTAAGGGGTGGGGCCAATCACTCCAAACTCGACTTTGGTAACGATAACAAGGGTTGCAAATGTAAAAGAAAGTGCAGAACATGTGATATAACTAATACAGATAATTACATTGTATCAAACGTTACAAATTTATATATTAACACATAACAAATCTATATATTAACACATATAAAGAAGCAGATGCAGATTGTAACGCTAAAAATGTAGTTTACTGTTTAAACATGCAATGGCTGTGGGATACAATATGTTGGAATGACAGTAAGAAAATTAAAAGAAAGAATTGGAGAACATCTTTCTAATATATTTTCACACAAAGTACACACACCGTTATATAATCACTTCTACAAATGTGATAGAGGTATAACGGTACAAGTACTAGACTGTATGAAGTCTAATGATAAAACCACATTAATAGAAAAGGAACTTTTTTGGATCAAACTTCTGATGACAGCATATCCCTTTGGATTGAATGATAACATAAAGGGATATGGAAACATTACAAATATAGATAATCCTCTTATGTACAAGGGCAATCATCCCTTCTTCTCTCTTAAAATTACAAAACAAAGGATAAATAGAGGAAAAAGAAACAGTAAAAAGAATAAAGTAAACACATACGATAATATTATAGCAGAGATAACAAGTAATAGTGAAACACTCAAACCTATTCAGTACTACAGAATGCTCAAGAGTCTGCGTAAAGAAGAAATTAAGAAACTAATTGAACTCTCCATGTCTGCAGACTTCTTACAGAGAGTTAATAATAAGACTAGGTACTTAATATTTTGTCTGCTAGCTCATTTTCATTTTGACACTACCACAAAAGAAATCACCAAAGAACTATCATAATGTAGAGGTCAGTTTCAAAAGCAGGGTATTTAATGAAATACCCTTCAACAGAATCTTCAATTCACGTACTGTTAGAGATATACTACTCAGCGATAATGGAAGGAGCAGTGAATTCACCCCAATCAGAATTATTTATAAGTACAACAACACAATGGCTAGCAATTT